CAGATTTTGAGCTAAGTCTAAGATAAGCTAAGTCTCTGTTAAGCTATGTCTATGTCAAGCGAATATCTTTTTCTAGCCGCTCTATGCGAGCCGTTTGCTTGTGTATCCCACGGCGTGGACCTGGCTCAACCGCTTCCTATAGGAAAGAGCATACTTGTTGTGGGCGCTGGTATAATTGGTATGTAATTAATTAAACAATTATAACTTTGAACTCACCAACCCGTCTTGAGCGAGCGTGGTGATGAATGCTCTAACCTTCTCCATGTGAGAAGAGGCAGCTCAGCAATAGGCTCTAATATTCTGATGATGATTTGAATCGTTAAATAATACTTTATTTGTTATATAATATTATTGTTTAAAACGTATTTATTTAAACTATCGAAAAATAAGAATTTTATTACATACAGATAAATATTTAAGCGGTATACACTATGTATGTATATATATAAATTAACGCTAATATACTATAATAATATAAAAAATAAACATTTCGTGGAAATGTATATATTTTTTTATCTTTATTCATCTAAAAAATTGTAAGTAAATAGGGGGAAAGGGGGTAAAAAATATATAAAGGTTCCAGGAAAAGTACGAAACTTACGTATATGTATATTATAATAATTACATATTAAAACTTATAACCTACACCTAAGACTACATGATTGACCCGATGTTAGGATAGCAATACCATTCCATAGCTTGTGTGTATCAGGAATCTTCTGGTTCACACGCTTGGTGTTCGTTCCGCGGAGTCAGCGGCGTCAAGAGTTATATATTTTATACATACAACGATGTCGCCCCGGCGATGTTCATATATTTTTTAATATGTATTTATCACGTTGTTTTCAATGTATTTTTCTTATCATAGGTAACATGTGGATAGCGGTTCTACATCTTCAAGGTCATCGAGATGTAACTGTCTCTGAGATGAATAAATCCAGGCTCGAAATTGTAAAGAAATTAGGTAAAATGAATAATCCTACTAATATTATAATAGCGAAAGTTTGTGAATGTGTGTATATGTTTTGATAAAATTTTGTATACAGGAAGCTGACGTCCAGGAATAACACATAGGCTACTTTATAAATGCCAAAGTAACTCTGTCTATCTGTCTGTCTGTTACGCTTTCACGCCTAAACCACTGAACTGATTTTAATAAAATTTGGTACAGACATAGAGTTGACCTTGAGAAAAAACATAGGATAGTTTTTATCTCAGACTTTTGAAAGGTTCTCTTGGAAACGCGATATAACCGAACTCCACGCGGGCGAAGCTGCGAGCGGAAAGCTAGTGTTCTATATAATACTAGACTAGTTAATGCCCGCGGTTTCATCCTCTCAAATGGTTTTAGGAATGTTACTAATATAAATATGTATTTCTTTAAATAATTAGTCCTTGTTTCATATTAAAACACATTCTTTTATATGACCAGCCTCTCATTTTAAATGCAAACTTTATGAGGATGTCTGGTACTCGTTGAAGCAAAATACACTGAACGGATTTTCATGTAACTTTTCAGTAATGTAATTAAGATATCAGAATAAGATATAGGACACAAATTGTCGAGAAATTCTGTATTATTACTGCAGGATTTTGTACGAAGTCACGTGATAGTATATTTTTTACTCTTGATTTTCATATATTTTATTTAAAAGCACTTTATATATTTATTTCTCTGCCTAATTTATAAATTTACTTAGACGAATTTATACCAAAACTCCTAGTATATATGTAGCATGGCTTTTATTTAAATGTTTTGTTAAATATTATGTTTTATGTACGCGGCAGTTTAAGATAATCTTGTTTGTAACTTTTATGTTATGTAAACATAATTATTATGTATTGTAAAGTTATTTACATAACACTTATGTGTTTAAAGATTATTATTATTGATGGTCTTACGCGAGGTAGCTGTTTCTTAAACCAAGTTTGACCGTATTACTACATATAGAGGAATGAGTTTTTTTACTTTGAACTAACCTAACTTAACAAATTTTCATATTGACTATTGTAATTTGTGACCTATTGCAAGGAATAAATTAATATCTGTACTGATGACACAGTTTTTGTACGAAATTTTCTGTAGCATAATGCGATCTAAGATTTTCTCGAGTTTTATTCGTTAAACTGTAACTAATATTTGTCGGATATATTACGCGACTTCATAGGTATAACGGCTAAATCTATCTATAACCTACTAAAGGACTTGAGCTTGTCCAGAACTCACATTAATACATTCTTGGAACGTACATCGAAGGCAGCCCTAGTAAGTTCTTTTCAAATTTGGTAGAGAGAGGAGCTTGGACAGTGGAGGTGAGCGTTTAACGCGTTAGATAGGGTCCTTTAAACCTACACCTGGGTCACAAGTCACCGTCACTGTTGAAGCTCCTCTCACTACAACGATGGACCCGACACACGCATATGAATACATTGAATGATGAGAGGTTTCGTCTCTCTATATATATTAAACCTACACCTGGGTCACAAGTCCCAGTCACTGTTGAAGCTCCTCTCACTACAACGATGGACCCGACACACGCACCGTGAATACATGGAATGATGAGAGGTTTCGTCTCTCTATATATATTAAACCTACACCTGGGTCACAAGTCCCAGTCACTGTTGAAGCTCCTCTCACTACAACGATGGACCCGACACACGCATACGAATACATTGAATGATGAGAGGTTTCGTCTCTCTATATATATTAAACCTACACCTGGGTCACAAGTCCCAGTCACTGTTGAAGCTCCTCTCACTACAACGATGGACCCGACACACGCATATGAATACATTGAATGATGAGAGGTTTCGTCTCTCTATATATATTAAACCTACACATGGGTCACAAGTCCCAGTCACTGTTGAAGCTCCTCTCACTACAACGATGGACCCGACACACGCATATGAATACATTGAATGCTATGAGGTTTCGTCTCTTAATAAAAAAACTACATATGTACTCCCAACTTTTGAGCTACTTCTCATGAAAAATATAAGTTTTATTTTCTGTAATATATTAAAAACTTTATAAAACATTTCAGACACCGGTTTTCGTCTTGTTACTCCGGATGTATTGGAAGCGGAGCAGCCTGTTTTCGATGTCATAATCGATTGCACCGGTACGTATAAACAACGTTTGTTTACGATTACTCTATTATCGTAATTTTAATGACAGTTATATTAATGATAAGATAAGTTTTATGTGCTTTAGTATAATATAATCTTCGCTCATTATAGTATTAGTAGTATTTAATGAGAAATGAGTGGTTTAGAATACTTTTTGCGTACGAAATTTTCATACGTTTTCCGTTACTCACTCTATAACCACGTTTAATACTTAATTGGGTGAAGATTTATCAATGAAAATATTTAAGGCTGTCTACGTAGTGTATCAATTAAGACTAAGGGTACAGATTGAATTTTCATTTAAATAATAACTTTATTGAGAAGAAAACACAATGCTTACACAATAATACATCAAGGTTGAGGTGCGTTATGTTTTCAGCAAATTTTAAAATTTCGATTGTCTTTGGACCCCACACTAGGAGACCTGTATCGTGGGGTCCGAACACTTGATTTCACAGGTTGATAAACATCAGGCCAGGACTAAAAACAAAAATTCATCAACCAATTTACTTAGAACATCTTATTGAAATATCTTAGATATTTGTTTAATTTGAAGACGATGTTAATATAAATATATATATATATATATATATATATATATATATATTATCTTCATTCTTTTGTATTCAACATTGATATATAAGTATATAGGATAGTCCGTTTAGAGATAAAATAAATGATTCTATACAATACCCTGATTGCAGTATTGTAACTATTATTTTCGTATACTACGTGTTTCTTATTCTATATCTACATGATCTCGACGTTTCGGTTCCTTTACAGCAACCGTGATCATTAAGACGAAATGAAAGTCTATTAGTTTTCCTTTGTCCTTGAACACGGTTGAGCTCAATAATTTTTTTATTTATTTATTTATTTCTTTATAATAAGCACACTAACAACATATACATATTTATATTATAACAACATATATATATTATAACAACAGATATGTACGTCAAAGATAAGTGTGCATAACATTTACAGAATACAATCAAAAAAGTATACACACTAATTTAAATATAAAACAAAAATACTACGTAAAAATAACAAAATTAAAAAAATATATTATATAAACTTAGGAAAACTATGAATTAGAAGAAAAATAGTGAATAATTTCCTTTTTGAATACATAAAACGAATCGCCAAATAGGTCCAGACTTGGTTTTATATATTATTTGTATTATTTTCTTTGGAATCTATGTATTTTCCACCAGGTGTCGGTAAGGTCATAGAAATCAACTTCAAATATATGAACCACGGTGCAAAATATATCTTATTTGGTTGCTGCCCGCCTACACACACTGCCACGTAAGTAAAATCATAAAAAAATATGCTATATGATTTATAGGTATATCTTAATTTTAATAAAAGGGGCAGACCCTGGCTAAAGCTGGGAAATTGCCAGGAAGAAGAAGAAGAAGATTAATTTTGATAAAACGGTTCATATACTAAATAATTGAAAGGACTAAACGAATTTAATTTAATGATTAAACCATTTAGGTATTATAAAATTTTAATTCATTTAAAACAGAAGGTAAATTTAATCTCTTATATATTATCAAGCACTGTGATTACCCTGGGGTTACTTAAATATATCCTTTATGAAACAACATTAAATAATCCCTACTAATATTATAACTGAGAAAGTAATTCCGTCTGTCTGTCTGTTACGCTTTCACGCCTAAACCACTGAACTGATTTTAATGAAATTTGCTACAAGGATAGAGTTGGCATGGAGAAAGAATATAGGATAGTTTTTATGCCAGACTTTTGAAAGGTTCTCTTGGAAACGCGATATAACCGAACTCCACGCGGGCGAAGCTGCGGGCGGAAAGCTAGTATTTAATATATTTTCATTCATATTTCAGATTAAATCCATTTGATATTTATAATAAGGAGTTATCTATTATTGGGGTTAAAATCAACCCGTTCAGTTTTCCTAAGGCGTTGGGCATACTCAAATCTATGGGAGACAGGTATGTACAATACTTCAGTAATTTTTTAAAAGTAGGACTTTTCAAAGTCAAATAATTTTTAAATTTTTAAATTCAAATCATCAAGCAAAGTTTAAATAAATAAAAATTAACAACAATAACGGAAAAATGGTTAAAGTTTGACCAATTTTCTAGGTTTTTCTCAAATGCCCATAATTTTTTCAATTGCATGAGATTTTTCAATTGCATGAGATTTTTCTCAAAACTTCTTCGGTTGGACGTTGAGTTCTTTGACCCCCTGTATCATAACTTATGAATTATTATTAATATTTGATTAAGAGAAATATATTGTTCTATAAAATATTTCAGGTACCTTAAATATGAAAAGCTAGGTGTCAAGACTTACCCTCTGGCAGATTACCAGCAAGCCTTAGATGACCTAAAGGCTGGTAAAGTTTCTAAAGCTATATTTACTATTTAAAAAATTATCCTAAATAAATTTGATACTAAATTTATTGTTTTATTTACCTTTAATAATATTTAAGTTTATCAAGCAGTTTAATTTGAAAATATTAATGTATTCGTGGTAATAGTTAGAAAACAAATTTTTTTGAACCTAAATCAATAATATATTTGTAAATCGATAAAAAATACTATTTCTGTGTCATTATTATATATATTTTAGAAGGTAAAAATTAATTTTAGAAGTAAATTATAACTACAAAGAGATGGATTATTTAAAAATTTCTTATTTACTACGAGTTTTTAATTTTTATTATTAACTACATATGTAACTGTAGGTTTGCCGTAAGGATTTTAACAGTGCTTACCCATTTAAGTTATAAGTTTAATATTTAATACTACAAAAATCGTTAAATATGGGACTAAAGTTGGATGGCTGATAGAAACTTAGTAGTAAAAAGCTTACAATCAGACTTCTTCTACCTGGCAATTTCCCGGCTATAGCCAGGGTCTGCCTTACATGTTGTGAATAGTTTTGGCTAATTGTTTTTACGACCGGCCGCCTGCCTGACATCAACCCTCTTTGGGAATGCATTAATCAGTGATGTCTAAATATTCTTAGAAAGTACATATGACTCGGGTAAATCACATTGGTACTTGCCAGGATCGAACCCGCGCCCTCGGCAACGAGAGGCAGGCCTTCTAACCATTAGGCCACCACTGACTAAGCTTACAACCAGACTATCAATTATATATTGTGCTGTTTAACTTCACCAATTTTTATAGTATTAATTAGCTCATGAGAACAGTCCTGGAAGAAAGCAGAAGTTTTGTAACCAATTCATCAGAAGACCCATTCATATTAATGATTAATATTCCTATGTTTTAGTTCAAATAACGTTTAACCTTGATATCATTTTTATTATAATTGCCTAATTTACATTATAATGATTAATGATGCTAGCTCCTAACGGAATTTAGACGATCGGTTTACAATAATATAACGTACGGTCAAATATAATTGAGTACTCAAAATATGCATATGTTTGAAAACTACAATGTGTTTGTGTGTTTGTCTTTCTCAATGAAACTACGAAACTGAATTTATCAAATATATTGGTTAATATAATATAATATTTTAATAGTCAGTAATAGTAATAGTAATAGTCAGTGGTGGCCTAGTGGTTAAAAGGCCCGCCTCTCATGCACGAGAGCGCGGGTTCGATCCTGGCAACTACCAATGTGATTTTTCCGAGTCATATGTACTTTGTAAGAGTATTTAGATATCACTGATTAATGCATCCCCAAAAGGGGTTAATGTCAGGCAGGCGGCCAGTCGTAAGAAAAATAGCTAAAACTATTCACAACATGTAAGGCAGACCCTGGCTAAAACTGGGACATTGCCAGGTAGAAGAAGAAAAAGAGTATATTATTTTTAGTATTTATAAATGAGTTGAGATGTAAGTCTGTATAGTTTAATATATACAAAACTGTCATTGTGGGCGTAACAATGAATTTAGTAGAAATGTCTCTACTGACACACTGACATACACACACACACACACACACACATGAGAAAAATAACACGTTAGTGTGCGTGTAAGGAGAGTTTCGTAGCTATTCAAATCTTCAATACAGAAACCAACATATTATACGAGTATATATACAGGGTGTGTAATAGTGTTCTCATCTCGTGTGAACCCCTGTATATACCAGTTATATATTACAAGTTATATATATATATAACACACACACACACACACACACAGACACTTGTACTTAGTAGCTTATACTTGTAGTACAAAAAATTACCTAAAGATTCAAACATTTAGATATTAAACATATAATTCAAATTACTGTGAACGGTAAACGACAAGTTTGATCGAAAAACACGGAGTTGGGAGAGAAACTTTTAACTATTAGTTTAAAAAAATCTTGAAATAATAATCCTACTAATATTATAAATGCGAAAGTAACTCTGTCTGTCTGTTTGTTACGCTTTCATGCCCAAACCAGTGGACTGATTTCAATGAAATTTGGTACAGAGAAAGAGTTGACCTTGAGAACGAACATAGGATAGTTTTTATCCCAGACTTTTGAAAGGTTCTCTTGGAAACGCGATATAGCCGAACTCCGCGCGGGCGAAGCTGCGGGCGGAAAGCTAGTTATATATAATTTTAAATGAAAGTTTATATGTATGGCAAACCGTTGGCACACATATTATGCTAAACATCTGATTCATAGCCGTGACATTTGGATGTGATTTTACAAAGACGAGATGAGATCTCATAGATCAGGGGTCGTAAACATTTTTTATATATTATTATTTTAATATTTTTTTATATATAAATGTATGATTTATTTTGATTAAAATGTTTGAATGGAATCTTTATTATTATTGTTTATGTAACTTATAAATTATAATTGTAGGTCACTACATACTGATGGGAAAATTGATCATGTATTCCGTTCTGAAGCTATGCTTATTATGTAATCACATGAAAATAATCACAGACGTTTGGCATTCAATTAATTAAATCCATCAGTACCTATTTTATTTGTAAAATTAATATTCATAAAAATATTTAGTTTAAACTTTATTAATGATAAAAAATAATATTAATTTGAGCAAATTAAATATGAAGTCATCGTATTTATTTATTTGAACCAAAGGTTGTGGACCCATGATCATTATGGACAGTTTTGGTGTCGTATAACATGACTTGATTTCAATAAATGAAATTGTTCTTGTTGTCAATTTAATATGTACGTATGTTTATTCTTTAAATAGTATCTTAACTACATGTTGCCATTTAAAGGTATATATATGTATATATGTATTATTACTCGTGATGGCATAGTGGTTAAAAGTTCGCCTCTCTTGCACGAGGGATCGGGTTCGATCCTGGCAAGTACCAATGTGGTTTTTCGTAGTCATATGTACTTTCTAAGAGTATTTAGACACCACTGGCAGACGGTGAAGGAAAACATCGCGAGGAAACATGGACTTATAATTTCCAATTATAAGTTAGAAATCACCAACACGTCTTGAGCAAGCGTGGTGATTAATGCTCAAACCTTCTCCATGTGAGAAGAGGCCTTTGCTCAGCAGTGGGCTCTGATAGGATGATGATGATATACATATATGACTTCCAGATGATAAAAATGTTCTTTTAATGTTTCTATGTTTTTGTTTGGAATTTTTTTATGTTAATTGATACATATACATAGAAACCAACACGATAGTGCATATAATTTTAAGCTCAGAATGTAATATTACTAGTCTTTAATACGAATTTTATTAGCTGGAATCAGATTCACGTATCCTTCTTTTAAAGACGGGGATAGCGTGCAGGATTACCAGCATATTTAACAAGGATACTCACAAATCAGGTGCAAACATGATTAGATTAAAGACCGCTTGACCACCAAATATATTTAATTTATACTCAGTAAACGACAAACGTTGAGTACGTGGTATAAAACTGGTAGTACGTAATTTATAGAATTAAAAGATAGTAATATCGATACGTAAATGTAACAAAACATTAAATGAAGAGAAAAATATTGCTAAAAAATTTAATTTATTTATTATTTACAGCAGACTTAAAAATAATAAATAAAATTTAAGTTACTCCATATCTAATGCTGTAATCTACAATTATACAGCACCTATTTGCTTAACAAAGTAGTAGACCATTTTTCTTGATAATCCTTTGCTCTGAAATAGTGTTTTAGTAACGAAAGTTGACGAAAAGGTCCTATTTTCTATTGAAAAACATAAATAAAGCATACAATGAAAATAACATAGAAATCCCTAATAAGAATCTAGGGACAGAATACTCTTTAAAGAAATGTAGTTAATACTTTAATTAGATCTAATTTATATAAAAGACTTATTCCAGTCACCAGAATTAAAGAAACAGTTATATTATTTGTACCTATTCTAAAAATATATGTTAAAATATAACTTAAACTTAAAGAATTTTAGAGTTAAATTAAAAGCGGATTGGTATATCAAAACCTATTTGACCTAATCATTTAAATGAAATTAATATTTTTCGGATTATACGCGAGCTTTATTTTGAAAGTAATTTATATAAAAGGATTTCTAAATATATATCTTAGAAGATACTCTTATAAGTCAGTGGTGGCCTAGTGGTTAAAGGGCCCGCCTCTCGTTGCCGAGGACGCGGGTCCGATCCTGACCCGGGCAAGTAACAATGTGATTTTTCCAAATAATATGTACTTTCTAAGAGTATTTAGACATCACTGATTAATGTATTCCCAAAAGAGGGTTGATGTCAGGGCGGCCGGTCGTAAAAACAATTAGCCAAAACTATACACAACATGTAAGGCACACCCTGGCTATAGCTGGGAAATTCCCAGATAGAAGAAGAAGATCTTAAAAGATACTGTATTTATATGTATTTTTCAAAGTATTTCGAAGTCCTACCTAGGCTAAACATTGTTCTTAAATTCGTGTAAGCCAATTTCATTACCAAAATCGATATAATGAATGCAAAATTTATATGTCTTGTTTTTCTCCTACTAAAACTGATATACTATAAATAATTAGTATTGACATGTAAAAAAATATATCTTTCATGATATTTTATAGCATTTATTTTTATAATTCAAACAAACTGAAAATATAGTAACAAACGAAACTGGATTTATAAAGGTATTATTAAGTTTTTCTTAATTGAAATTCATTAGGGTATTTTATATGTCCAAATATTCTAAAGTTTATTGCTTACAACATATTAGGGCGCGGGTTCGATCCTGGCAAGTACCATTGTGATTTTTCCAAGGCATATTTACTTTCTAAGAGTATTTAGACATCACTGATTAATGCATTCCCAAAGAGTTGATGCCAGGCAGGCGGCCGGTCGTAAAAATAATGAGACAAAACTATTTACATGTAAGGCAGACCCTGGCTATAGCTGGGAAATTGCCAGTTAGAAGAAGAAGATATATTACATTTTACGTATAACATATTTGCATACAGAAAAAATAATTGTTTCAAGGAAACTCAAAGCAATGAACAATAAGGCTAGGTATCGCATCTTCAAAACGTAAAGTCAGCAAAAAATATATCATTATATACATACATATATATATATGATATTAATATATATATAATATTATTATAAACCTTTAAATTATACAAAAAAAATAGTTTTTTATTACATACATTTAACAAAGAATATTTATATGTTAAAACTAAATTAAATTTTCAATTCTTGCGATAATTACGTATTTTTAATATTGATACTGAAATATATTATAATAGTTTTCAGTCGAAAATAAGTTTAATAAAATAACACTATCCTATTCAGTAGTGTCTTAATTTGAAATTATTTTCATAATATGTATATATTGATTATTTTCACTAACTTTACAAACACATACACATATTTGTATGCAGCGAAAAGATATTTAGCTGTTCAAAGCTTATAAATGCATATTTTACTAATCTTTTACAAATTCCTTAATTCCAAATAGATAAACAGTTTAGTCCCAGTTAATTAATTTAATTAAGCCTTCTTCTCCATGTGAGAAGAGGCCTTTTCTCAGCGGGCTTTGATAGGCTGATGATGATGAAGCCATATTTCTCAATTATAACGCTTTTCATCTCAATTGACTATAAATTTCTGGTAATAAAATCAGTATTTATCCTTTTCTTAACTCCATAAAGTAACTTTTGTTCTTTATAAGTTCAACCAATCAGCGAAAAATAATTACTCATAGCTAATAACTGATTGATTCTCAATTTAAGACTCTTACCATTATTTTCACGTCAACACTGCAAACTTAAAGTTCGTACGTACTCGTCCTAAAGTATTGTGTATATAATGTTTATTTACTTAATAGTTAATATTATTTTGCCGACTCTAGACATTCGTCCTTGCTCACAAACACCAGTTATGGGTCAAAGTTGCTGATAAAATGCAAATTAAATACTATTCTATGGAAATGGAGCGTGATTTAAGGCTAGTATTGTTACTACAATAATATTGTATTACAAGAAATATTAGTGATGTATAGAATAAGTACTGTCACTATAGCTCAGTATAAATAATGACGGTAAATGCTGATGTGGGAAGGCGGTTCGATGAAAATATACATGTAAATATATAAAAATATATATATTTATAATTCTTTAAAATAGGTCATAAAAATATATTTTTCTTATTTATTCTCCGAAAATACATCTCGTCTTAATGATCACGGTTGCTGTAAAGTAGCCGAAACTTCGGGAGTATGTAGTTTTTACAAAAATAAAGTCACGTAGTATATCCGAAAAATGTTAGTTTCATTTATATAAATATGCTTTAATTACATTTAAAATTATTTCTATACACTCAAGTGTGACCTTAACATGTAAGGCAGACCCTGGCTGAAGCTGGGAAATTGCCAGGAAGAAGAAAAAGATACCCAAATGTGACCTAGTTACCAGCGTGTTTGAAGCAACATTCCCCTTAACAGTGGAAATTAGGTGCAACGCCGTAATTTAACATATAATTAGCATAAGCATGATAAACTACAGTTGACATTGATATTAATGGTACTACGTTTTAATAGTTTTGAATTAAATTAAAAAACACAAAACAAAATACGAATAAGAAAAATCACTGTCATTATGCTATATGAAAATTAAAAAAAAAAATAACCTCCATTAAAAAATCCGGGTCATTTAATGCATAATACATACAAATGTCAAAGTGTGCCGGATCGCGGCGTGACAATTGATACGGCCGAACAAAAGATGCATCTTGTGATCGTAGCGACCCACTTATGTGTCATACAGGCTTTGAGATTTAAAAAAATATAACACAAACCCAAAACAGCCATTCGGCGATCAGGCCGTATGTGGTGTGCACGTATATAAAACCTATTCGGACTTACGTATACGATCGTTGCGTTATTAGGATCAGAAATTAAAAAAAAAAACTGTGTACACAAACGTCATTACTTGGATTTAAAAAATGTCAATATTTATAATTTTAACGTGCGTACATTTAAGTTTAGCGAATATGTATAATCATATTAATCATATGGAGTATTATAATATAAGCCGCCCTTCCAAAGCGTTTAGTTTTTCTCACCACTACAATCAGTTACCAAAGGGTAAAGAGAAAGTTCAGTGTGGCACGCGTACTGTAGATTATACTCTACGTAGGGGTAAAATTGTTGGAGGCTCCGAAGCGCCCTATGGAGCATTCCCTTGGCAGGTAAGTAAAAATAATTACAGAAGTTACTTATAAAAGATAGACGAGATATTAGTAATAATAATTTCATATATACAGGGTGACTGGTGAATTACTATCAATATTTAAGGAGCATACTCGGTACATGATTCTCATTCGAATTATGTAAAAAAAAATAGGTACTTAATTTTTGACCAAAAAAAGAGTGTGTGTGTGTGTGTATACCTAATCTGTAGGGTGTTCATACGATGCGTAATTAATTACACAACTTTTGGTTAACTTTACTTAGATGTTTATTAATATTTATGTTATATTAATTTTTATTTTGTCATATATGATCGTCAAATATCACGTCCTCAAATATCGATAGTAATTCACCAGTCACCCTGTATATATATTTGTTTCACATGATAATTAACAAGACATATATATAATAATAATGTAAAATAGTAGTTTTTTTTCTCATTTTCAGTGTTTTATAATATTATTGTTTTAATTCTTTTCAATAGTTAAGATAATATATTAGTTTATAGGAGTTGATAAAATTGGTTTCTTTACTTTTATCTGTCATGAATCGTGTTAATTATTTTTCATAAAATAATATTAATATTTTATAGGTAATATATTTTTGTTATATTATAACAAATGCTAAAGAAAATAATAAAAAAAAAATATTTTTTATTTTATTAATAAAGATACCTTTTAGGCGATGTCGACTCGCACTTGGAAAGTTACTATTTATTTTTTCATTTATAATAATATACATATCTTGATAATTATTATTATTCAATATGATAGAATTTTTTCTCATATATATTATTTTATTTAATTCTTGTCATTATTAATTTTTAATGAACCATTCACATTTATTTAAATTTTTATTATACAGATATTATTGATATATGTCTAACTGTATATTTGAAACTAAATTTATTGAAACAAATTCAATATTCAGAAAAAAAGTTGAGAATAAACTGGAAAAAAATTACCTAGAATTTTTAGGTATAGTTAAAAAAATCGTATCCTTAGTACGTGTATGCTACGCTAATTAATTAATTTATTTATCTAGGGAAACGGACAAACTGTTGGTACTTACGTTAAATTTGGAAAGTTAGTAAAGGTTACTTCTGATTACAGGAACATTAATAAATCATATTTATGAATAATAATTTTACTTATGTTTTAAATCACCAACCCGTCTTGAGCAATCGTGATGATTAATGCTCAAACCTTCTCCATGTGAGAAGAGGCTCAGAAGTGGGCTCTGATAGGCTGATGATGATGTTAAAAACTGTAATTAAGTCTATTTTTTAACGAGTTAGTTTTTTTCACGGGATATATATATATATACATTAAAAAAGGTATTAAAAGATACGATACTCTTACTAGCGACCTCTGTAGTCCAGGATATGTTAATTTCTACACAATACTATTGTACTTTGAACTACATGTAATTCCGATATAAATGATATCCCACGTCTTATTCTTATATTTTAATTAAATAACTATAAATTTATATTAAAAACGGTCTAGTCATTTTTGTCCAATATAAAAAAACATCATAAACCACACGCATCTACGCTTACAAATTTTGGAAATTTTAATATAAATAGTGTGTTTTGGAAAAGTAAGAAAGATATTTATTTATTGTCAGCTACACAAACTCGTAACAAAGAGGATTTAAACTGAGCATTTGCCAAAACTTACATATAAATAAAATAATCTAAACACTCAATCAACTTAATTTTTCCTCAATAATTGTTGTTTTGATGTTTTCTCTTGATTAACCTTTATCGATTTTTACAGTAAGGACTTTTATAATCCATTTTATTATTAAAATACACAAAGTTATTAATATTTTTTGAGAAGAAACTTCTCATCATTCAATGTATTCATATGCGTGTGTCGGGTCCATCGTTGTAGTGAGAGGAGCTTCAACAGTGACTGGGACTTGTGACCCAGGTGTAGGTTTAATATATATAGAGAGACGAAACCTCTCATCATTCAATGTATTCATATGCGTGTGTCGGGTCCATCGTTGTAGTGAGAGGAGCTTCAACAGTGACTGGGACTTGTGACCCAGGTGTATGTTTAATATATATAGAGAGACGAAACCTCTCATCATTCAATGTATTCATATGCGTGTGTCGGGTCCATCGTTGTAGTGAGAGGAGCTTCAACAGTGACTGTGACTTGTGACCCAGGTGTATGTTTAATATATATAGAGAGACGAAACCTCTCATCATTCAATGTATTCATATGCGTGTGTCGGGTCCATCGTTGTAGTGAGAGGAGCTTCAACAGTGACTGGGACTTGCGACCCAGGTGTAGGTTTAAGGGACCCGATCTAACGCGTTAAACGCTCAATTAAGAATATTAATATCGTTGAATTTATCACAAAATGATTTTTAATTTATTGGAATATTTTATGTATATCTTTTATGTAACTTATTTATAGGCTTATACTTTAATCAAAAATATTAAAAGTTATAACATTATATGGACATTTATAAACGAAAGTTTTAATTAATCTTTTACTTAAATTATTAATTCTTGTACTTATTTTTTTCATCAGAATGTCACAATTATATTTCGTAAACAACAAGACTGGTTAATTTAAATATTCACGTAACTTTCAACCCAAAAAATAAATCGAAAATTGACAAGAGCGTACTTGACGTCGCAATGTACGAAGTCGTAATGAACTTTCACTTTCTTTGTCATTATAACAATAAGGTTTTGTGTCTAGTTCAGTACAATATGGTAGCTTCAATGATTCATTCGGCAATACATCATTATTAAAATAGGTTATATATACAGGGTGACTGGTGAATTACTATCGATACTTGAGGATACATAAATATTAATAAACTTCTAAGTAAAGTTAACCAAAAGTTATGTAATTAATTACGCATCGTGTGAACACCCTACAGATTAGGTATACACACACACTCACACATACGCGTGTGGCGGCGTGGTGTTGTATCAGCACGCCGCCACACGCGTCCACACTTGGAACACTTGGAACGTGTCAACACTTTATTTATTTATACGGAAATTTGGTCAAAATTAAGTACCTATTTTTTTTACATAATTCGAATGAGAATCATGTACCGAGTATTCTCCTTAAATATTGATAGTAATTCACCAGTCACCCTGTATACATTATATTTAAATTTATATTTACAACTAGCTTTTGCGTGATGTTATATAGCCCACAGCCTTCCTCGATAACTGGACTATCCAACACAAAAAGAATTATTCAATTCGAACCAGTAGTTTCGGAGATTAGCGCTTTCAAACAAACAAACAAACTCTTCAGCTTTATAATATTAGTATAGATATTTTCTAAGAGTATTTAGGCATCACTGATTAATGAAGGAAAACATCGTGAGGAAACATGGAGTTACATCAAATTATAAGTTTGAAATCACCAACCCGTCTTGAGCCAGCGTGTTGATTAATGCTCAAACCTTCTCCATGTGAGAAGAGGCAGCTCAGCAGTGGGCTCTGATAGGATGATGATGATTAAGGAATATTTTTGAAGTTATATTTTAGCTGCCACAATCCTCTTGTGCCTATTCAGTTTCTACGAGAAGAATCTATCAGTATAAAATAGTTTATTTGAAATTTTTATTCATATATTTGGTTCATTGCCCCAATTAATGCATGTATATTTTTACTGTTATCGTATTTTTACGTTAATAAAACCTTTTTTTATTTAAATAAAAACTTTTTGATTAATTTTTATATTTAACGTTAATCACAACAACATTTTAGTTATTTTTTTCTATACGCCAAAGAATATAACTTCTAACGCCTGTACATAAGTACATACACATTTTTTTATATAATAACTAGCTTTCCGCTCGCAGCTTCACCCTCGTGGAGTTCGGTTATATCGCGTTTCCAAAAGAACCTTTAAAAGGTCTGGGATAAAAACTATCCTATATTCTTTGTCAAGATCAACTCTGTAGCAAATTTCATTAAAATCAGTTCAGTGGTTCAGGCGTGAAAGCGTAACAGACAGACAGACAGAGTTACTTTTGCATTTATAATATTAGTAGGGATGTTTATATATTATACTTATACAGGGTGACTGGTGAATTACTATCAATATTTAAGGAGCATACTCGGTACATGATTCTCATTCGAATTATGTTAAAAAAATAGGTACTTAATTTTTGACCAAATTTCCGTATGTATACAAGTCAGCCACATTTTCTATTTTTTTAATCTTTTTTCTAGTTGTAATCTTGAAATTAATTATAGGTGGAGATACAGATGCTAGATACAGATAAATTGACGTTTGAACATCATTGCGGTGGAGCTGTCATTGCTGAGAGACTTGTAGTATCAGCCGCTCATTGTTTTGATAAAGTAAGTATTACAATGAATAAATAACTTCTATACTACAACTACAAGATAAAACTAACAATTAACTTCTTGGTAATGATTTATGTACAGTTTTGTAGACTACTATGTATTTTGCTATTTAAATAATTATAATCTAGAGATCTAAGATTTTATCGAGTACTCATTAAAATGAAAGTAATATTTTCGGATATTACTTCGCGTATTTATTTTTGTTTAAAAACTACATATCCGTATAAATAATAGTAAATTCTGATGTGAGAAGGCGTTTAGATGAAAATATATATACTTATATTTATATTTATAATGCTTTGAAACAGATCATAAAAATATATATTTTTTATTTAATCTCGACTTGAAAATACATCTCGTCTTAATGATCACGGTTGCTGAAAAATAACCGAAACGTCGGGAGTATGTAGTTTATAATCAAAAATAAATACGCCAAGTAAAATCCGAAAATACTAGTTTCATTTTATTATAATCTTATTTATAATTATTCCAGCAACCATTGCATTTAGATCATATTAGGATTCTGGTTGGAGAGCACAGATTGAAGATGCAGGATAAGCATGAGAACAGATTCTTGGCGGAGAAGGTGGTTCCACACCCGGAGTTTAGAAAGAGTTAGTATTACAAATATTATATATATACTAGCTGCGCCCCGCGGTGTTACCCGCGGATTTCCGGGATGTAAAGTAGCCTATATATTATTCCTGGACGTCAGCTTCCTGTATTCAAAATTTTATCAAAATCGGTTCAGCCGTTTGAGCGTGAAGAAGTAACAAACATACACGCACTCACAAACTTTCGCAATTATAATACATTTTACTAGTAGGATAAGAGTTTCGTGAGTATTCATTTAAATGAAACTAATATTTTTTGATGTAATACTGGTATTGATATCGAAGTGTCGTCGGTAGTATGTAAGTAGTTTTTAATGTAGTATAAGACGGATATTCATTCAAATGAAACTAATATTAGTGAGATTTAAATGAAACTTCAAACCAATATCTGATTACTACGCGTATTAATTGAGAATTTTTCGGAAGTATGTATGTATATAAAATAATAATATATACGTAGCAATCCGTTAAAAGTAATATTTTCGAAAACATATAAATAAAACAATTTTTGAAGCTACTTCAATCTATCCCAATATGTATTTAAAAGAATAATGTAGTTAGGATAATGTAAATAAAAATTTAATTAATGTATTAGGCAAGCGTTTTTTATTATTTTGTTTGTTTTGACATTTTCATCTCGTCTTAATGATCACGGTTGCTGTAAAGTAACCGAAACGTCGATATCATGTAGGTATAGAATAAGAAACACATAGTATACGAAAAATAATTGATATAATCTCAAATTTTTAGAAGAAGAAGGTAATGTTATATATTTATTTAGTATCTAAAACCTAATGTAAAAGTTTATAAAAATTTCCTTACCTTTTCATATATATAAACAAATAAGATTTCAATACTAATATTTAAAAAACCTTGCTCATATGACTTACAAAATCAACATGACTTTTTGCCAAAAATATATGCGCCTACAAAAAACGAGACACCAATTACGTTCCATGAAAGAGCATTCCCCTCTGTAGGGTCGCGTACTTTAAACAATACAGTCTGAACAAGATGTCCTCTTAAAAACCCTTAAAAAACCCATACATACGATATTATGATCAAAAAACGTTGGTTCACTTAATAAAACTCACCCTTTTTATATTTAATCACCAAAAGTCAAAGAGGAATATTATTTCATTAAAAATAACTTTCGTATCTATATATTGTAATTAATTAAGTATTCTATTATAATCTAAAAATCTTTATCTGCTTTTATAATCAATATGAAAAAGTTAATAACTTAAAAGTAGTGTAGAATATAATGTTTATTTATTTTCTTAATAAAATTGTTGGTTTTTAATATATTATAAAGCTTTCTATAGTAAAGTAAAGTAAAGTTTTAACATAACAAATGTGCAATAATAAATTTTAAAATTAGGTGTAGGTTAAAATGAATGTTTTAGAAAACATCAAAATTGATTACTTTTCATTACTAACTTTCGTTCATTATTTTTTAAAATAACAGTTCAAATATTTAGATAGTGAATCAAAACATATAAAATTTTCTTATATATAAATACTTTTCATGATTTCCAAATTACTTTCTTTTTTAATATGCTATCTCCATAAATGCTTTGTTTGACGTATAAAATGTCATCCAAAACAAAATTACAGATATGTAAAAAAATATATTATAAATCCTTTTTGATAGTTTTTTAATACTATTAAATAGATTTGTTTTGTATAAAGTAAGTTTATTTATTATTATTTAAGCTACTAATACTGAGTATATTTATTTTTGATTGTTTATTTTATTCTTTCTAGATGGACCTCATAGTAACGACATCGCGGTTGTTTTGGTTTCAAAATCCGGTGTACAATTTAATTCCCACGTTCGACCTATCTGTCTTCCTGATAAATTTGAAGCAAATGGAAGATGGTGCGCAGTTAGCGGTTGGGGATATCAAGAAGGTAAGTTAGTGAGATTTTGAAGTTACCAACTTTACAATAAAATATCGTCTAGTATAAGAAATGCAAGCTCAATTAACGAATTTAAATCTCAACTTTCAAAACATATTTTAGAAAATAATTGATATACTAACGATGTAACACACTTGTAATAATATCTTACTATCTTTAATTGAGTTCCAAATAATCTGGCGACTACTTTTGTATTTTCACTTTTGTATGTTCTCATGTAAGTGACTATGTCTTTTTGAGAATAAATTCTCTAAACCTAAGTTAAAATTGGGATAAAACAGTTTTAAAGAATAAGAACATGTTTGATACTAGTAGAAAGTTTTCAGTTTATATGAATTAGGATATTTTTTATATTATTAACATATTGACAAATAAAAGTATTGTAATTTAACTGTTAACTTAAAAACTAAGTTATATCACATAAATATATATAACTTAGCTTTATATATAAGCTATATATTTCTTATATGTTGCTAAAATGATTATATGTATTTGGCTGAGTGTAACTTAATGTAAGAATTACTGGTAATATGATTACTTCAGAAGAATTAATATAATATAATGAGCTCTAAGATCATCGTTGTTGAAAAGTAACTGAAAAGACTGTAGTTTGTAGTTTTTTACACAAATATAGTCGCGTAGTATATCAGAAAAATATGATTTTCATTTAGTTTAATATAATATGTTTTTCTTTTAGAGGGTACAGAGAATTTTTCACCAGTACTAAGGGCTGCTGCAGTACCGGTTTTAGATTTGGCGACTTGCCGCAGAGATAAAGTACTGGGTAGCTGTAAACAAACGATATTGGACTCTATGATATGCGCTGGTAAGTAGATAATCATCTACATATAATATAATTAACACAAAACCTAAAACAAGAGCAGTTTTATTATGATGTAATAAGATTTTTATGCATTTTTATGGCAAAATATAGACGAAAAGAAGTTATTTTGAATAAATAAATGTCCATTTAATTGTTGAATTTCTAGCCAATTTTGTCGATATTTCTGTTCTAACACTAAGTCGTCTTTAACATAAAAAAAGATGTGATAATATATATATTTTTTTTAGGTGCATTATCGGGTGGCGTCGACGCTTGTAAAGGTGATTCTGGCGGGCCATTGGCATGTCTTGGCAATCGTTGGCAGCTGACTGGCGTGGTATCTTGGGGCGCTGGCTGTGGCAGACGAGCGAGGCCGGGTGTCTACACTAGAGTAGCATATTATGTAGACTGGCTAAGAAGCACTGCCGCTCAAATGGGACAAAGGATAGCATAGAACATACAAAACTTCATAATTTAAGAGATTTATGAATAAAACGAATATACTTAAAGGTATAGTATACAAATTTAACCATTTGAAACATTCTATTGTACTGTAACTTTAGCTAAATTTAATTTTTTTCATACAAAATCAAGTGTTCTAAAGTTCACAATTTATACTATATTATTTTGTAACTATCAGTATTTTATTATAAGTTTCATAGTATGCACGTATAGTTTACCATTTAATTGGTTAAGGAACATATGTTACGTATTCACGTAACTTTATCAGTATTTGACTGGAAACGCAACGTATGAAGTTTAATGTGAAATTGTATTAAGGGAAAATATGTTAAAATTCAGTTAAGCATTAAATAGTAGTGTTAATTTTAACGCCAAAGATTTTATGTTACCGTAAAAAAAAATGTTGTACATGTTTAATTTTATATTATTTATTGTATTAAATAAGATATTATAATATATAAAAAAATTTAAGATTAGGTATAAATGTTTTTGTAATATTAGTTAAAATATTAAATATGTATATTACTTTTAATTTATTTGTAAATCTGCTTTCATTTTGTCCTCCATATCGGAATTAACATCGCGTTTAATTTTATTGGTATTGAAACTGGTAAATAATATTAAATTATATGTTATTTTATATACATATTCCGAAAATATAATAAAAAAAGGAATTAACGAATTGTACACTGGAAATAAGTCTCATAGTATATATCAAAATAGTTAGTGGTGTCCTAGTGGTTAAAAGGCCCGCCTCTCATGCATGAAGGCGCGGGTTCGAGCCTGGCAAGTACCAATGTGATTTTTTCGAGTCATATGTACTCTTATTTAGACATCAGTGATTAATGCATTCCCTAAGAGGGTTGATGCGAGACAGGTGGCCGGTCGTAAAAACAATTAGCCAAAACTATTCACAACATGTAAGGCAGACCCTGGCTAAAGCTTGGAAACTGACAGGTAGAAGAAGATCAATATAGAAGGCATAAATGTAATGAGTTTCGATTCTCAAATTTCCTGGGATTTTTTGAGATGGCTACTGAATTATATTACTCTCGAGAGAAATAGTGAAACATAAACTAGTTCAAAAATTTACTTTTCCCTTTTTTTTATTTCATAAGATAGATAAACGATTTTCTTAAAAGTGACTAAATTAAAGTTCTAGCTATAATTTTATTTACAAGCAATTTAAATTGTCATCATGGAAACTCACATTGACAATCACTTAAAATATGGTTAATTAGTAAATTATACGTATGATTAGAACATTCACAATTCACAAATTCTTCAATATCAATTACTTTATATAAAGTCTACTAAATAGCGAGAAAAACCACGTGTTAAAACTAGTTATATATAATATTGCAAAACTTATATGACGATATTTAATTTGGTATTATTAATATTAGCTCCATCTGTCGGTCTTTTTTGAAATTACTAACACTTATCTCGTTTATATTGGTTTTAATAACTTCCGAGAGATGGCGCTAACAATAATATTGATATCATTTCTAGTGCGAATTTATTGTTATTTATGATAAATGTTTTGCGATAAAGAAGTTGATTGACCTCAGCTTTATTATTACTATTACAGTTCTTACATAAGAATAGCTTCCATTTATTTTCATAATAAATACATATTAAAAATCTAAAATAGAAATTTCTTTTTTAAAAATGTATATAGGCTAATGATATATAATTTTAATGAAAAAAATATTTAAAAAACGTTGCTTGTTTGTAAATAAGTTCTTTGATAAAAAAATAACAGCTGTGAAATTACGAAACTTGTATTTATAATATTTTAATTTGATAATGATAAAAATATTTCACGACGGCAAAGGTTACAATATTGTGTCAACATTCAAAATATTAATAAAAAATAAACCCTTTTATTCAAAATTCAAGATGTTGTAAGTTTTTAAGTTATTGTTACACCAAATTATAATTTAATTATATTTATATATAATTGTATATACTAACTAAATAATAAATATGTATATATACTAGCTGACCCGGCAAACGTTCTGTTTAACACCGCGACACGAGAATTTTATATTTAACTAGCTTTCCGGCCGCAGCTTCGCCCGCTTGGAGTTCGGTTATATCGCGTTTCAAAGAGAACCTTTCAAAAGTCTGGGATAAAAACTATCCTATGTTCTTTCTCAAGGTCAACTCTATCTCTGTACCAATCATTAAAATCAGTTCAGTGGTTTAGGCGTGAAAGCGTAACAGACAGACAGACAGACAGAGTTACTTTCGCATTTATAATATTAGTAGGGATATATATAATTTGTTATGTATTTGTTGCAGAACGCGTAATTTATTATCAAAATAGGGCGTTGATAAACACGTGAGTGTTTTAAGATGGACACACGTGACTGTAATTAAAAATCATATCAAATGTACATTATGTTATAAAACAACAATATTTATGATAAAATAAAGAATTTATCAAATTTTTCCTTTAAACGGGTCAGATTAGTTAAAGAGGCTATTATGCCATATATACAGGATGACTGGTGAATTACTATCAATATTTAAGGAGAATACTCGGTACATGATTCTCATTCGAATTATGTAAAAAAATAGGCACTTAATTTTTGACCAAATTTCCGTATAAATAAATAGTGGACACGTTCCAAGTGTGGACGCGTGCGGCGGCGTGCTGATACAACACCACGCCGCCACACGCGTGTGTGTGTGTGTACCTAATCTGTAGGGTGTTCACACGATGCGTAATTAATTACATAACTTTTGGTTAACTTTACTTAGAAGATTATTAATATTTATGTTATATTAATTTTTATTTTGTCATATATGATCGTCAAATATCACGTCCTCAAGTATCGATAGTAATTCACCAGTCACCCTGTATATGTTTCAAACTTTGGCCTGTATTTAAATAGACCATTTTTTTTTGTATCTTACGTTTTTTATTATGGAAATCTTTATTTCAAATCACGTTTTGTAGCTTTTGTTAAAACCCAATGGAACTGTCTATAGATAAATGAATTTGTTGAATTAGATTTAATTCAAAATGACAAATAGACAAATTATTTTCTTGTGGTTTATCATTATAATTAAGTTTATATATATATAGTTCTATTGTAAGTGTGTATGTCACTGAACTCCTAAACGTCTGTATCTATTTGAATGTGTTTTACATACACCAGATGTCGCCCCAGATGGTTTAGATTCACTAATCACACGGCAGGTGGCGCTGACTGTATGTAGGTTATTCATGAAAAGTCTTTAACATAGCTCACTATATGTATTGTTTTAACATACTATATTTTTTTTGAGCACAACTCTCTTCAAAAGGACGAAGTAGCGGGCAGAAACGAGTGATACATATATCTATTTTTTTCTTTGATAATCTTTAACCTAAATAATAAATAAGTTAACGAAATTATTTTCTTTTAAGTGTCAAATGAAATCGTTGATAATATTTTATTGTGTATACATATATTCGGAATAGTAAAACTGATTTGAATCTTAGTCTATCATTCTTGTTATTTAAGCCTTTCTGCTAACTGAGACATGTGCTTTCCCTCAAATGTGAAATAATACAAAATTCGTCATTTCAAAAGGTCACTTGTCAAAAATTTATTTTTACCCCATTCATCAAACTAAATCAATACAATATCATTCATTTTTATATAGTTTTATAATAAAAGTATATAAAAATAAAATAAAAAACATCAGTCTGTGAGATTATTTGTAATTTTTCTTGGTAATACCATTTTAAATACTAAATAAGTTGTCGATTTGTAAGTTAAAAACTATCTATCAATAAATATGAATAAATGTTTTTTACTTACGCGCTATATATGAAGACAAAAATGAACATCGCCGGGGCGACATCATTGTATGTATAAAATATATAACGATTAACTCTTGACGCCGCTGACTCCGCGGAACGAACACCAAGCGTGTGAACCAGAAGATTCCTGATACACACAAGCTATGGAATGGTATTGCTATCATAACATCGGGTCAATCATGTAGTCTTAGGTGTAGGTTATAAGTTTTAATATGTAGTTCATATTATAATATACGTATAAGTATGTTTCGTAATTTTCCTGGAACCTCCGACTGCCACTATATAATTTGTTTCACTAATGTTATGGAGAAATTTAAAATTATTATTTAGTTATCAAAAAACTTATTTCAAAGTAGGGATATTTGTATTAAATACGTACTCTTTGTGATGAGGATGGATCGATTTTGTTAATGCTCTTTCTGTCTGCTAGTTGACTTAAAATAAATGCTAATATCAAAATGGTAAAGTAACATTTCGTTTTCAGATAGAATTCTCTCGTTAGTACAATTTCTCAGTATTGGTTAATGATCTTTTGTCTTCGATATTTTATGATTGTATTTTATTTTGCATGTAGTTCTAGTATATTTACATAAAACTAGTGTTTTCTCCCGACTTCGTTCTTATAAACAATAGAATTGTTTTCAGATCTATATATAAAAAAAATGTATTTCTGTTCGTTACTTTCACTAAAACTCGAGAACGGCTGAACGGATTTATATTATCTTTGTCTTGAAATGTTCGTGGAGGTTCACGGAAGGTTTAAAAGATGAAAAAATTGATTCATTTCCGGGAAAACCATAAAAACAGCCCTTTTCTATTTCCCATACAAACGTTTTTTTTGACATTAGATTTGACAACAAACTATTGTCAATCCTTCTGTTCGATTGAAACAGGAAAAATTTAATAAATACCAATACCTGGTTATTTAAGACGGAATAGAGTTCGCCCGGTCAGCTATACAACTATACATCAGCTATAGAAAATCCAAAATCTGTTAATCTACTGTCTCTGAATTAAAACAGTTTGCTGGTTCAACAGGGACAAAGTCGCGGGCAAAAGCTAGTTCCTACTAATATTATAAAAGCGAAAGTAACTCTGTCTGTCTGTCTGTCTGTTACGCTTTCACTTCTAAACCACTGAACTGATTTTAATGAAATTTGGTGCAGACATAG